GATACGGGTTACGGCCGGAGTCCCACAAGGTTCCATACTTGGCCCGGTGCTTTGGAACATCATGTATAATTCAGTGCTCGAGGTACCACTTCCGAAAGACTGCGAAAGTCTGGCATTCGCGGATGATTTAGCAGTGTTAATACATGCCAGAGATAAGGAGGACCTGATAGGCAAGGGGAACGAGTCTCTAAACAGAATAGAGTACTGGATGCTGAAGAACAAGCTTAAGCTAGCGCTACATAAGACCGAAGCGGTGGTTCTGAAAGGAACAAGAATGGAAAGGGTAAGAGAAGAAATTGCCTTCAGCATCGGTACACAACGGATTACCCCAAAGAGGTCGCTGAAGTACCTAGGGGTATATTTGGACTACACCGGAAAATTTGGGGAGCATATCAGGTATGTTTGTAAAAAAGCCGACGAGAAAACAGCAGCGTTAAGTAAGCTAATGAGAAATGTAGGAGGGCCGACCAGTAATAAACGCGAGATATTGGGAGGAGTAGTTTATTCGATTTTGCTTTACGGGGCGCAAGTTTGGAAGGACGCTATTACAGTTGCCAAATACAGAGGGTTGCTGATAAAATCACAAAGAAAACTACTGCTTAGAGTGAATAGTGCGTATAGAACCGTCTCAGCGGAAGCTTTGTCGGTTATAGGAGGACACCCACCAATCGACGAATTAATAATCGAAAGAGCGGAGATCTACGAAAACAATTACAAGACGAAGAATCAGAAGGAGGAGGCAAGAGCCCGGACCCTTACCAGATGGCAGATAAGATGGGAAAATCTACAGGACAAAGCGGCATGGACAAAGACTCTCATACCAGTGATACAGCCATGGTGCGAATGCAGCTTTAGGCTGACGAACTTCTACGTCACCCAGTTTTTGTCTGGCCATGGGCCCTTTAAGTCATTTCTCAAAAGAATAGGAAAAACCGAAGACGATACATGCAATAGCTGTGGCGAAACGGATACACCGAACCATGTATATTTCGAATGTAGCAAATTTCGAGAAGAAAGACGAGAAATAGAAAAAACCGTAAACGAAAAAATAAGCTCAAATAATGTGATTAATTTAATGATTAAAAACGAAAATAATTACAAAAATATCCGACAGTACATCGAAGTAGTAACAATAAAAAAGGAACAAGAGGACCGAAACAGGCCAATATAGGAAACGTCAGAGTTTACCCCTGGCATTGTTGACGGAAGCCAGAAATGGCGGTTCCAGCATGCCGTTCAAAGGGGAGAGGTTTTTAGTGGGTAGAGAAGACTGAGTCCCACACTACCCCTGCCGACCAACAGCAGGGGTGTGCGTAAGTGCATTTTCCTCTATAAAAAAAAAAAAAAAAAAAAGGGTAGGGTAGGGTAGGGTAGGGTAGGGTAGGGTAGGGTAGGGTAGGGTAGGGTAGGGTAGGGTAGGGTAGGGTAGGGTGAAGTCGATAAGAGACCACCACTTTTGCGACAATAAAAAAGACGCCCTTATCATGCTGGGAAATGGTGTAAAAGCCACGGCTCACGGCAAAGAAGACGGAATTGTGTGGGTGTGCGTCGATAACACTCTTGTGATATCGGGGTATATATCACCGAATTGCACGTTGGAGGACTTCAGCTCGTATCTCACTACCCTGGAGGCGGTGATAGAACATGGAATCACGGGAAGGAGGGTAATTCTAATGGCAGACTTAAACGCAAAGAGCCCAATGTGGGGATCGCAGAAGGAGGACCGCCGCGGCGAACTACTATGCGATTTCATTTGGTCAATGTCACTAGTAGTTGCAAATACAGGAAATAAACCGACGTTTACAAGAAGCGAAAAACAAAGCGTAATAGATGTAACACTAACCTCGACCAACTTGATAAGCAGCATAAGCGGATGGAAAGTTGCAGAAAGTGAAACACTGAGCGACCACAACCTAATAACATTTCACATAGAAACGAGCGAAGAAGACGATAACACGCAAAGTCGGAGAAAGTATAAGTTTAATAAAACAAAGGAAGATAAGCTGAGAGAAAGTTTGAACAAAAAAATGGATGCACTGAGAGAAGCAAACGCGGAGAACGTAGAGGAGGTCATAAAAACGGCATGCGACGAGGCATTAAAAATCAAAGGCATAAGAGCGAGAAAGCCAGTGTTTTGGTGGTCAGACGAAATAGCCACCCTGCGGAAGAAATGCATCCAAAAAAGAAGAGCCTGGACAAGGAACAAGAGCAAGAATAACCCGGACCAAGCAGAAATGCAACTTTTGTGCAACGATTACAAAGAGGCGCGACGGATACTCAGGGACGCAATCAAAGAAGCAAAAAACAACTGCTGGAGAGAATTAATCGACGAAGTAGATGCAGACGTATGGGGAAACGGCTATAGAATAGTGTCTAAAAAATGCAAGAAACAATTGCCAGTAAGACTAGAAGGACAAAAGCTAAGGGACGTAGTAGACGGGCTGTTTCCAGAGCGAACGATACCAAAATGGAACAGACGCAATGATATTGAGACAGCTCCTGTGCCCGATGTCACGGAAGAGGAAGTAATTATGGCAGCGCGAGCTTTAAAAAACAAAAAAGCACCTGGGGAGGACGGAATCCCCCCCGAAGCGGTCAAATGCGCAGTCAATTGTAGGCCAGACATCATGGCAAAAGCCCTCACAAATGTCATGAAAAGGGGAAAGATGCCCGTGGCATGGAAAACAGCTGCATTAGTTCTGCTTCCAAAACCTGGAAAAACCCCAATATCGTATAGGCCTATATGCCTTCTACCGACGATGGCTAAGTTATTCGAAAGGGTTCTTAGAGATCGAATGTTAGAGGAGCTCGACACGAAAGGGGGCATCTCGGAGCACCAATACGGCTTCATGCCGGGCCGCTCGACGATAGATGCCATTCAGGAGCTAGTCAGACTGACAAAGAACACAAGAGAGGGACACTGGCGAAACCGTGAATTAACTTTGGCCATAGCGCTAGACGTTAAAAATGCTTTTAATTCTGCCCCCTGGCCAGATATCATAAAAGCACTCGAAAGAAAAAACGTAAGCGGCTACCTCATCGAAATAATAAAAGAATACCTCACAGAGCGAAAAATAAAAATAGATGGTTACGAAAGAGAGATGAGCTGCGGAGTGCCACAGGGGTCGGTAATAGGCCCCATTCTATGGAATGTGGTCTATGACGGCGTTCTGGAACTGGATCTGGGCGAGGGAATAAGACAGATAGCATATGCAGACGATCTGCTTCTAATTGTAACCGCAAGCAACGAGGACCAGCTGGAGGCGTTGGCGAGCCGAGGAATAGCCACGGTAGAAAAATGGATGAGAACGCATAACCTGATTTTGGCAGTCGAAAAGACCGAGGTAACGCTACTGACGGGTCGCAAAAAAGTGCGAAAACTAAAAATTAACTACGATGGCAAAATTCTCAACCCCTCTAATAGTTTCAAATATCTGGGAGTAGTGGTAGACAGAAACCTCACATGGATACCACATCTGCAAGAGACCGCTGTCAAGGCGAACAGGGTAGCCTCAGCCCTCATAAAAATAATGCCGAGAAATAAGGGCCCAAACTTTCGATCGAGAAAACTTTTATATAGCGTCGTAACGTCCATAGTACTATATGGCGCCCCGGTGTGGGCCGGAAGCACTAAGTATAAAACCAGTGTCGGTATTCTACAAAAAATCGAAAGGCGCATGCTTATTTATGTAACACAGGCTTATAGAACGACGTCCATAGAAGCGCTGCAAGTGGTGGCTGGAATACCGCCACTGGACTTGCTGGCGGAGGAGAGGGCACACAATCATGAAGCCGATGAAGGAGCAAGAAAGTTCAACAGACAATGCCTGACGGACAAGTGGGCGGACAGATGGAAAAAAACGAAAAATGGTGAGTGGACCAGAAGGCTCATGGTAGATTTTGGAAAGTGGGTCAACAGAACGTTTGGGGATGTTGACTATTATGTCACCCAGATACTGACAGGGCACGGGGATTTCGGCACCTACCTGAAAAGGATCCAGAAAACACCAACTAGCAGGTGCGAGTTCTGTACAGAAATTGATGACCCGGAGCATACGACATTCAAATGCGAAGAATGGAAGGAAATCAGGGAGAAATATTACAGACAGCTGGGAATAACCCTAAAGGTTGGAAATTTCGTAGATATCATGTTGGAAAGTGAAGGAAAGTTTGCCATTGTCCGGGAATTTTGCAGAGAGCTATTAGTTGCCAAAGAGGCGAGCTATTATAATAGAGAGCTATTAGTTGCCAAAGAGGCGAGCAGAAAGAAACCATAGAAAAAAAAAAGGAAATTCCCCAAGGAAATGCGAGAGCGGTTCTGGGAAGTGGGGGTGGAGTTTTAGTGGGTAGTACTTGAGTTTTTCGTGAGTCCCACACTACCCCCGCCGACCAACTGCGGGGGTGTGCGTCAAGGCATTTCTCCACCTCCAATTTAAACAAAAAAAAAAAAAAAAAAAAAAAGGGTAGGGTAGGGTAGGGTAGGGTAGGGTAGGGTAGGTAGGGTAGGGTAGGGTAGGGTAGGGTAGGGTAGGGTAGGGTAGGGTAGGGTAGGGTAGGGTAGGGTAGGGTAGGGTAGGGTAGGGTAGGGTAGGGTAGGGTAGGGTAGGGTAGGGTAGGGTAGGGTAGGGTAGGGTAGGGTAGGGTAGGGTAGGGTAGGGTAGGGTAGGGTAGGGTGGGGACCAAATGGCCGGGTTTTGGGTCTGGGCTGACCCAGTGGGTCTCAGTAGGTGCGGTAGGGTGCCCATACTTACCGTGCAATAAAACGCTGAGCCCGCAGTCCTGTGCGGACGAACTGGCAAATCCTATCTCCACCTCCTCGTGGTGGTCCCTGGTAATGCGCGGCGTGCTGTGAAGTACGTCTCGTAGCCAACGGAGAAGGGTTATGGCGAGCTTCCGGCGCCTGAAACAAAAACTGGAATTAAATTGGGCTAAGGGATGGAAAACCCTGACAGAAAACCAAAACCGCAATGAACATGGATATGAGTAAGGATTCGAGGAATATGTTACGGGACAGGGGCGTCGGAACCCCAGAACCGGTCGAAGAGGGAAGTGGGAAAGCAGGCTTCCGTCGACCGTCATCAAGCGACTGCTTGGAACTTTTGGTAGGCAACCAGGCCAAGGGATCCAATATAGCGACTGGAAGGGAAAAGGAATCAGGAGGAAAAGCTGACAACTCGAACGTAGCTACGTATCAATTAGTGTCCGGTGAAATGGAAAAACAAATGCCAAGGCACAGCAGATTGAACGTGTTAAGTCAACTAGAACGGTGCAACTCCCTAGATAATTCGAAAAAAAGAAAAAAGACTAGCGACTCAACTACGAAGGAGGAATCCGCGTATAAAAAAACATTAAGTCCAACGGCGCATGAGTTAATAGAGACGATAGAAAAATCCAAAACACAGGTAGAGAAACTTATACAGATAATAACGGAGTGTACAAGTACAAGGAAAGATATAAAGGAATTGGCACATCAAATCGCAAGAAATCATAAGAACTACGAAAGAGACACGATAAAAGAATGGCTGCAGGCGCGAAAGTATGAGCCAATTCCTAAACTTTCCTATGATATTGATACACAAACGGATACAGTGGATGGGAAAAAAGATACAAGGGACTTTGGAACCCAAACTCTACCATATATAGCGGAAGACACGGTGAGATCGCTAGACCAAATTTCTAGTCTACAAGAATTTAAAAGTAACATAACAAAGTCATGGGAGGAGTATGTCTATAAAAACACGGAGATAACCGTCGGTAACCCAATACAAAGCGACGACAGCGTAGCGAAGGTGGTATTTGTGGAGAACGATGACCCTGAAATGAAATCTAGCATACAGAGGATGTACAAGGAGAGATTTCCGGAAATAGGGAATCTGGAAGATGAATGGGAAGTCGTAGAACAAACCAGCAAAATAAGGACCAAGGAACCAGCTGAAATAATTAAGAGAAAAATAATAAAAGTTAGAATAGACGGGACAATGGAGGACTTGGAAGGAAAACTACGTAAAATTCTGGAAGAAACTAAGGAGGATAAAAAAGTGGCATTTCACCGAATAAAGGGAATGGGTTTGGAATACTTCAGGAAAATTACGGAATGGGTTTTTCACAAGACGGAGACAACGATACAGATATATACACCGAACACGGACACCGAAGGAAACTCTCAAAGAAGAGCACCGACGGAGAGGAAAACGTATGCTCTAATTGTGGACAGCAAAGACAGCAAGACATCTTACATGGAAGTGCTTACAAAAGTCAAAGGGTTAGTGGGAAACGACCCTTCAACTAAATCGATTACGGGGGTAAAAAGTACAAAAAATGGAAAACTCATAATAACCACAGAAAAGGACTTAGAAGCTGTCAACAAAATACAGAATTTACTTAAAAAAGAAGGGGACATAAACATCAGGAGAAGTGTACAAAGACCTATTGCACTACACATAAGAGGGTTGGATGCGGGAATAAAGAAAAACGAAGTGATCGAGGTAATAAACAGAGCAGTCGGGTGGAAGGAAGACGCTGATACAGCTAGCGAACTGAGGGCAAATGCAGGCAGTACGCAAGCAATAACAGTCGTAATGGAACCAGAAAGGGCACAAACCCTATTAAATCAAGGGTTTATTCAAATGGGCATGGTTAAGTGTAAAATCGAAAAACGAATATCAGTAAGAAGATGCACGAAATGCTGGTCCTACGAACATACCGCAAATAATTGTCATGAGGAGGAAAAAGGAAAAAAATGTTTCAAGTGCGGGAGCAAGGAACATATAGCAAGGGAATGCGAAAGAATGGGATGCGCGTTATGTAACACGGATGAGCACAAATTTGGAACAGTACAATGCGACAAATTTAGAGAAGCGCTAAAAAAAGCCAGGAGACAAATGAGAAGACGCTTTTCTAATGTATCAGTTAGGACAGATGTATCCGAAAGCAGCTCCGTACCACAATATAGGCAATACGAAAGCGGACACACTACCCCTATAGATACGGGTAACAGATTCGCAATTTTAACAAACTGGGAAGGACAAGAAAACGAAAATTAAAAATTTTATATATACAGTTTATTTACATATACACCTTATTTACATATACACTTTATAAACATATATACACCCTATTTACATCTGAACTTTATACAACTTTTATTTATACTTTTTTTACTTCTATACAACAGAAATGAACCAAATAAAAATTTTACAAGTAAACCTTGGAAGATCAAGAGAGGCCCATGATCTAGCCTATGCGACTGTGAAAGGAATGGAAATCGATATAATGGTAGTATGCGAACCCAATATAAAAACGGTCTCAAATGGGAGGTGGATTACGGATTTAAAAAAAAATGTAGCAGTCTTTTTTAATAACAGGGAAATAAACGTAAAAAAAACCACGAGAAAGGAAAGTTACGTGCAAATAGAGATGAACGGTTGGAATATGATCGGTGTGTATATATCCCCAAATATAACAAAGGAGGAGTATAAAAATAAAACGGATGAAATCATGATGGCATGCAGGAATATAAAAGGAGGTACCGTACTAATGGGGGATATTAATGCAAAATCGCATCAGTGGGGATCACCAATAACAGATAGAAGGGGGGAATACATAACAGAGTGGCTGGCCTCAATGGACTACGTGGTGCAAAATAAGGGGAACCGCCCAACTTTTATAAGAGGTAAAAGCAATTCATACATTGACGTCACATGCACATCTAAACAATTGACAAACAAAATAAAAAAATGGGAAGTATTAGAAAAAGAGACCCTAACAGAACACCAGTATATTTATTTTGAGGTAGAGACGGGAACAAGAACACAAAAAACTACGGAAAAGAGAAGACCAAGCATAAACTGGGGAAAATACAGAAAGGAGCTGACAAAAAGACTAGATACAGAAGGGAAGAAAAATAAAGGATGGGGGAATAGTGATACCCTGGAAATAATAAAAGACTGCTACACAAAAAGTATTAGTAGGGGAAATGGGAGCAAAACATTAAAAACACCGTATTGGTGGTCAGAAGAAATTGAGACGCATAGGGAAAAATGCTTGAAAATAAGGAGGGAAAGTATGAAAAAGAGAAAGAAAATAGGGGAGAACACTGAGCACACAAGACATCTACAAGAAAGGTATAAGGAAAAGAAAAAAGAGATGAAAAAAATGATAAGAAAAGCAAAGAAAGAAAAATGGAGAGAGGTATGCGAAGAGTTGGAAAACGACATATGGGGTAAAGGTTACAAAATAGCTATGGGACACTTTGGACGCTTGACTCCAACGAATCTGAGCGTGGAGGAAAAAAAGGAAATAGCGGCGGAACTGTTTCCAGCAAGAAAGGATTGGGTTGGAATAAGGAAAAAAATAGATATAGGCACAAACTATTTTACGGAAGAGGAATTAGGGACGGCATTGTCAAGCATGAAGAACGGAAAATCACCAGGAATAGACGGTCTACCAGCTGAAGCGTTGAAGGAAGCGTTCAAAGTAGGTCCCAAGCACTTATTAGAATACCTAAATCACTTACTGGAAAATCAGGAATTTCCGGAGGAGTGGAGGGTAGCAAAAATGGTATTAATACCTAAACCGCTAAAGGGAGAGGACGAAAAACAAACATACCGACCCATATGTCTTTTAAACACGATGAGCAAACTATACGAGAGTCTGATTAGAAACAGGATAAATAGGGAACTGGACGAGACGGAAGGGATATCGGACCGTCAATATGGATTCAGGAAGGGTCGATCAACGATACAAGCGGTTCAGAAGGTATTGGAGGACTTGAACAGGACAGGAAAATGGGCAATGCTGATTACCCTAGATGTCAGGAATGCATTTAACACCGCAGGATGGAGCCTCATAATTGGAAAGCTAGAGGAACTTGGCATATCAGAGTACTTGATAAATATAATAAGAAGGTACCTAAATGGGAGGAAAATAGTGTTGGACAGAACGGAAAGGATGGAGATCACTGCTGGAGTCCCCCAGGGTTCGGTCCTAGGACCAACCCTGTGGAACATCTTTTACGACGGGGTCCTAAAAATTGAGCTGACCGAAGGGGCCAAAACATATGGCTTCGCGGATGATTTAGCATTGCTAGTGGAGGCGGAAGAGGAGACAGAATTGAGGGCTAGGGTAGAGGAATCTCTATCAAAAATAGAGGAATGGATGACGAAGGTTAAACTCCAACTAGCTCCACATAAAACGGAAGCAGTGGTATTGAAAGGACATGGATGGAAAAAGAAGAGGAAGGAAGCCACATTTCAATTCATGGGAAAAACCATCGTGCCGGCAGAAGCACTTAAATATCTGGGAATAACAATAGGGTATAAAGGAAACTTTGGACAACACATCAAGGAAACAGTAAAGAAAGCAGAAAATACCGCGAGCAAGCTTTGCAGGATTATGCCCAACATAGGAGGACCCCAATATTGGAAGAAAAAGGCGCTTATGGAAGTAGTCCATTCGACTTTAATGTACGGAGCCCCCTTATGGGGAGAGATCGTAAAAGTTAAAAAATATAGGAAGATGCTGGAAAAGGTACAAAGGAAGGTAGCAATACGAGTAGGATCAGCCTATAGAACGGTATCCACAGAGGCCATTACAGCAATAACAGGCACAATACCGATCCATCTGCTCACTGAGGAATACAAACAAATGTACGGTGTGGAAGAGGGTCGTAGAAAGAGCAAAAAGGCAGAGGTCAGGAAAGAGAGCCTTAAAAAATGGCAGAACATATGGACGCAGCACACGGGAAAAGCGGAATGGACTAAGCAAATAATAAAGAACATTGAGGAATGGGTCGAGTGTAAACACAAATACATAAATTATTACATAACACAAGTTCTATCGGGACACGGATGCTTCGGAAAGTACCTACACAAAATCGGAAAACTGGAAGAGCCGACATGCTGGTACTGTAACGTGGAGGAAGACACCGTCGACCACACGCTGTTTAAGTGTCACAGATGGGAAGAGGAAAGACTAAACACATTAGGAGAAGTAAAGGCACACTCAACAGAGGAATTATTTAATAAAATGATTAAGGATAAAAGAGACTGGAAAATAGGAGAAACATATATAAATACAGTATTAAGGAAAAAAGAAGAAGAGGAAAGGACAAGACAGAATAGAACTTAGACAACCCGTGTCCTTGAAGAATGTCAGAAATGACGATTCCAAGGACATGGGGGAGTGAGAGGAGGTGGTTTTAGTGGGTATACAAGGCTTGCACACCCCGCCTTGGAGTCCTCACACTACCGGGGAAGGGAAGAACCTGTACCCGGTGTGCATAAAGCATTTCCACCCGGCAAAAAAAAAAAAAAAAAAAAAAAAAAAAAAAAAAAAAAAAAAAAAGGGTAGGGTAGGGTAGGGTAGGGTAGGGTAGGGTAGGGTAGGGTAGGGCGGGGTCCAAATGGCTGGTACCCGGGTCTCGAGGTGTTTCGGATTGCCAATGTCCGGGACGCATTAAAACTCGAGTAACGCCCAAAGGCGCCCTATTGCGGCCCAGTGTCTCGAAAAGGCTGTTGAGATAGTCCTGAGAAGGACTGTTGAGATAGTCCTGAAAAGGACTGTCGAGACAGTCCCGCGGGGGTCCGCGGTTGCAGTCCCGTGAGGGTCTGCGGTTGGGGCCCCCGTGAGGGACTGTCGAGATAGCCTTGAAAAGACATACCGGCAAATCCTATCTCCACCTCCTCGTGGTGGACCCTGGTAATGCGTGTTCCGCATCGTATGATGCGCGTCACGTAGCCAACGGAGAAGGGTGAAGGCGATTCCGGCGCCATAGCGGGAACCTATTGGCTAAGGGAAGGAAAACCCCGACAGAAAACCGACCTAAAAGAAAGATGAGTGAGGAGAAGATAGAGGATAGTTGTTTACGGGACAGGGGCTTCGGATCCCCAGAACCGGTCGAGGAGAGGAGTGAGAGAGCGGGCTCCCCTCGACCGTCAGCCAGCGACCGCAATAACACAAAAAAGGGCAAGGAACAGCCCGAAAAAGAAGCGGACGATAGTCCGTTCTTCCCAAGTAGGACCCTGATGCGGTCCCCACAGAGGAAGCTTAAGGATAACGAGGAATCTACGGAGATGGATGTAACGGAAATAAAGGATGCTGGAAGAGAACAAACAGAAGGGAAGGAAAAAACGCCAACTGTAGCTCAGAGAACGGTACCAGAAATGACAAGGAGGTTTAGATCAGTATCGCTAACAAAAATTACACCGTCGAAAAAGAGATCAAGAGAAGATGATACACAGGAATTCTGGATATTACTGAACAGCGTTACGAAGACAACAGAAAGTCTTACGAAAATGGTGCAAAACACTCCAAATACGAAGGTAAACATGAGGGAGGCTATAAAACTACTCCAAACTCAAATGAAAGCGCTAAATACTAAAGCAGCGGACTGGGAGGCACTACCACCACCAAAAAAACTGGAATCTACGGCAAAAACCACGAAGTCAATTGGCATTCAAGCCGACGTAAGCGAACATATCAACGAGATGGAGGTGGAAAAGTTAGAAACAAGGACCCAAATTAAAAAACTACTTGAGGATGAGACAGATGAAAAGTCGAAGCTACTGGAACTGATAGATAAAACATGGGAGGAGGAAATATATACGAAAACAAGTATTAGAAACACGGGACTTAATAGTATACCAACAGGCACAGATATAGCGATTGCAGCTTTTATGGATCCGAAAAACAAGAACGACGAGGCTGAAATAACTAAAATCAATGAAAAGTTTCCCGGTTTTGGGAAGCTAATAGACGAAGGACTAAACGAAGGAGAAATAGAATACGCAGTCACACAAACCGAGGTCACTAGTAAAAAAGGAACGGAAATAAAGAAAAATACCACCATAGCGCTACCTGTCAGGATGGATAGCTCAGGGATAACAGACGTAGAAGCAATATACAATATCGGTCTAGGCCTACGAGAGGAAAACATAATAAAGGATAAACAGGAAATAATAGTAACAAACGCTGGGAAGATGGATTTAGGTTATGCAAGGAAGATTTTAGAATACCTATTTCGGAAAAGCGAGAAAAAATTGATTATTCTAAACACCAAGAAAAAAAGTACACAAAATAAACCAGAAGGACAACCGACCACCAGAACAAAAACGGATGCGATAGTAGTGAAACATCAAGGTAAAACCTATGCGGAACTGCTCAAGGAAGTCAAGGCAAATATAGACATAAAAAAAACAGGGGTAAAAATAGATAAAGTAAGGAAGACAAACAACGGAGATCTATTACTCGAAGTAAAGGACAAGAGTACGGTAACAAAACTTAAGACGGAAATAAACGATCGAATGAAAGGAGTACAAACATATCACATGAAAGACGAAGTAGTTCTACACGTTTTGGAAATAGACGCAGACATGACCGAAACAGATATAATAGAAAAGATCCGGTATGCGCATCCAAACATGGCCGAAAAAGACATTAGAGTAGCGACACTAAAAACGATGAAAAGCGGAAACCTTGCTGGTACTATTATAACGACAAGGGCGTGGGCAGATTATTTCGATAGGCTAGGAAGCATAAGTTTCGGATGGTCTAGCTGCACGGTCAGGAGAAGGATACACGTAACTAGGTGTTTCAAATGCCTCGGCTTTGGACACCAAAGGGAGGAATGTAAAGGCGATGATATGTCAGGGACATGCATCAAATGCGGTAAGGAAGGACATAGGGCAAAGGAATGTAACAACATGCCTTATTGCCCAGAATGTCGTAAGGAAGGACACAGAGCGGATCAATTTAGCTGTCCAAATTTCAGGAGGATAGTTAAAGATACGATAAAAATAAGGAGGCAAACAAGCAGATTATCGGTCACTAGTAATTACTAATGATAAATATTCTGCAGACTAATTTAGGTAGGAGTAGACTCGCACACGACATGGTATATCGAATTCAAAAGGGAAACGAACACGATATAATACTAATATCGGAACCGAATATACATATAGCTACAAGAACAGGAATGATACTCGATAAACTGAAGCTTATGGCTATCCAGATTTTAAACAAAAGCATAGGAATAATCAAACATAAACCGGCAAACGGCTATATTAAATTAACAATGGAGGATAAAACTATATTTGGAGCCTACATGCCCCCAAGCATAGACTTACAAACGTTCAAAGAACGGGTGGACTGCATCATGAACGACATAAGAAGCTCAAAATGCGAAGCCATTATCGGAGGAGATTTCAACGCGAAATCGGCAACGTGGGGCTCCCCAATTACTGATGACAGAGGCGAATTCCTGGATGAATGGATTGCAGAATTGAACTTAGTATGCTTGAATAGCGGTGAACCAACGTTCGTCACAGGGAGTAGGACCTCACACATCGACATAACTCTAGCAACGAGCAAAGTATCGAAAAACTTTAAATCTTGGCGTATATTAAATGAAGAGGCGCTCACTCTTCACAAACATATTAGCTACACAATCGAAAGTACACAGAGACGAAGCAATAACAACAAAAGAAACCACTCAGTGGTATTCGACGAAATGGCTTTCGCCATAGAAATCGAAAACCTACTGAGTGGAAATCATGGAGGAGTGAAAAACTTTTGCGAAAAGGTCAAAGAGGCAGTTGCCAAGAGCTCTAAAAGCACGGCCAATAGATACGATAAATTACCACTTTGGTGGAATAGTCAAATCGAGAACAAAAGAACACTGGCTATAAGGTCGCGTAGGCAGCACACCCGGCTATGTAAGAAATATGGAAATGCAGATCCCAGGAGTACTGAATCAAAAAGTCGGATGGACACCTACATCAAGGATTTAAAAAAGCTAATTAGACGAGCAAAAAAGAACCACTGGGAAAAACTATGCGCGGAATTAGAGGATGACGTATGGGGGACTGGATATAAAATAGCCACTAGATTTGTAGGAAGACCTAAACCGCCCTATTACCCCACGATGAAACAAAAAATTAAATGGTGTAAGGAGCTTTTCCCGGAAAGCCAAATTAGAGCCACGAGATTCGAAGACAACGTGGATGACATCGAACCGATAAGTAACGACGAGCTAGAAGAAGCAGTGGGCAGGATAAAAAATAAGAAAGCGCCAGGACCGGATAACGTACCCCCCGAAGCAGTAAAAATTATTGCAGAACGTATGCCAAAGCAACTGTTGGAGGTCATGAACAACCTATTAATGGACCAAACTTTCCCAGCTATATGGAAAAGTTCTAGAATAGTTTTAGCCTGGAAGGGAAAGCCTGAACAGAAAGCATCATCGTACCGACCCATATGCTTGATAAATACCTTCGGAAAATTGTATGAGCGCATTATAAAACAACGACTCGAAAAAGTAATGGAAGAGGAGAAAGAAAAAAGCCTGTCAGACCAACAATACGGCTTTAGGAAAGGCCGCTCAACGCTAAACGCTGTAGAGAGGGTGATTAATATCGCAGAAGAATCAAAGTGTATATGGACTCTACTGATTACACTGGATATACGCAATGCGTTCAACACGATTTCCTGGAGTGACATCCTTGACAAATTGGAGGACCTGCGAGTCCCTACTTACCTGAGAAATATCCTAGATAGCTACCTGAGCAACAGGAAGGTTATAATAGGAAATAGAGAGATGGACACGTATAAAGGAGTACCGCAAGGGTCGGTATTAGGCCCACTACTGTGGAACATCGTATATGATGGTGTGCTCGAAAGAGAATATCTAGATGGAGTAACAACGATTGCGTTTGCAGATGATCTGTCCATCGTGGTCGAAGCGGACAGTACAGATGTGTTAAACACAAAAATAGAAACGACGATAGCCCAGATAATAAGCTGGATGAAGAAGCATAACCTACAATTGGCACCGGAAAAAACCGAATATATGATCCTTAAAGGGCCAAGAAAGCACAGAAAAGACATCAAGGTAGAAATAATGGGCGAAAATATCCAGCAGAAAAGAACGATCAAGTACCTAGGCATCGTCCTGGACGACAACTTAAGATTCGGTCCACATGTAAAATACGCGGTTGAAAAAGCTAAGATAAGATCGAAAATGCTAGCCATGATCATGCCAAATGTCGGCGGTCCCAGTTATCTGAAAAGAAAGGCCCTATATGGAGTGGTGGAGTCAATACTCCTTTACGGAGCCCCCATATGGAGAAGAGCAATAGACTTCAACAGATATCGAGAAATACTTACCAGAACACAACGAATCGCTTTAATAAGAGTAGCAGCAGCCTATCGCACAATATCGGCGACAGCGGTACAGGGCATAACGGGGATACCGCCGATAGATCTACTAATCGAGGAAAGAGAGAGACTATATAGACGAGAAGACGGAGCAACGAAAACGGCAAAAGAAGAGGAACGCGAAATTACCCTAAACAGATGGCAAAATAGATGGAAACAGGAGCAAGAAAACGCCAAATGGACCCGGGACATTATCAAGGATATAAAAAAATGGACACAATGCAAACATCGACGTACAGAATATTTCCTCACCCAAGCTCTTAGCGGTCACGGAACATTTGGAAGCTTTACTAAAAAAATAAAGAAGACCACGACGGACAACTGCATTTATTGCACCAACCCGGATTCACCCGAACACACAATATTTGTGTGCGCAAGGTGGACAAGCCTAAGAACACAGCTGGAAACGGAAATTGGACATCTAAAAAAAGAAAACATAATTGAAAAAATGATCAGCAGCCGGGAAACATGGGAAGTAATACACCAATTCATAAATAAAGTCATGGAAACTAAAGAAAAAGAAGACAGGGTAGCAACCGTTTAACAATAAATAAGGCAGAAGGAAGGACATAAAGAGACCACTAGGCTATTGACGGACACCCAGAAATGGGTATACCAATAGCCTAGAGAGGGGCAAACTGAGGTGGTTTTAGTGGGTAAACAAGGCTTGCACACCCCGCCTTGGAGTCCTCACACTACCGGGGAAGGGCAGAACCTGTACCCGGTGTGCATAAAGCATTTCCACCTGTCAAAAAAAAAAAAAAAAAAAAAAAAAAAAAAAAAAAAAAAAAAAGGGTAGGGTAGGGTAGGGTAGGGTAGGGTGGGGTAGGGTAGGGTAGGGTAGGGTAGGGTAGGGTAGGGTAGGGTAGGGTAGGGTAGGGTAGGGTAGGGTAGGGTAGGGTAGGGTAGGGTAGGGTAGGGTAGGGTAGGGTAGGGTAGGGTAGGGTAGGGTAGGGTAGGGTAGGGTAGGGTAGGGTAGGGTAGGGTAGGGTAGGGTAGGGTAGGGTAGGGTAGGGTAGGGTAGGGTAGGGTAGGGTAGGGTAGGGTAGGGTAGGGTAGGGTAGGGTAGGGTAGGGTAGGGTAGGGTAGGGTAGGGTGGGGTCCAAATGGCTGGTACCCGGGTCTCGAGGTGTTTCGGATTGCCAATGTCCGGGACGCATTAAAACTCGAGTAACGCCCAAAGGCGCCCTATTGCGGCCCAGTGTCTCGAAAAGGCTGTTGAGATAGTCCTGAAAAGGACTGTTGAGATAGTCCTGAAAAGGACTGTCGAGACAGTCCCGCGGGGTCCGCGGTTGCAGTCCCTTGAGGGTCTGCGGTTGCGGCCCCGTGAGGGGCTGTCGAGATAGCCTTGAAAAGACATACCGGCAAATCCTATCTCCACCTCCTCGTGGTGGACCCTGGTAATGCGTGTTCCGCATCTTACGATGCGCGTCACGTAGCCAACGGAGAAGGGTGAAGGCGAGTTTTCCGGCGCCATAACGGGAACCTATTGGCTAAGGGAAGGAAAACCCTGACAGAAAACCAGGGATGGATCTTTAGATGACGGACTGGCTAGGACACGGACAAATATTACTTAACAATTATGGATAGGAAAAATAAAGGAAAACAACTTACCGAACAGGGTGTCGGAAGCCCAGTTCCGGTCGGCGCAGGGGGTGAGCGAGCAGGCCCCCACCGACCGTCATCCAGCGACTGCCCAGGATCCTCGGTGGGCCACCAGGCCGAGGAATCCCGTCTTGCTACTGGCGAAGAACAAGTAATGGAGAATTGGTTGCTGAGTAGGAGGAAGATCGAGCGGTCCCCAACCAGTGGGAAGGGGAGAGCGTCGAGCTGTCCAGAAAGCACGGAAGAGACAGGACATGGGGAATCACAAGGAAAGATTGAAGGACATACAATAGTGGCAATTCAGAAAGGTACAGGGAAAAGGAAAAGGATGGAAGAAACGATGAAAGATGAGAAAGGAGAAACGCTCAAGGAAATGAGGGAAATGATAGAAAGACTGATGAAAGAAAGTGAAAGCTTAGTGAAATTGGTAACGACACACAGCAACTATACTAAAGTGGAAATAAGAGATAAAGCCAAAGACATAAAAAGACTAGTGGATAAAGCAGGAAAGAAAGTTCAGGAAATAAGGGTTGAGGAAGAAGAAAGCAAAGAACAAAAGAAAAAGACAACGACAAGAACAATTGGTACACAAACATATCTGTCGGGGGACGAGAGCAATGAGGAAAGGGAAACATTAGAAATAAGCGAAACTATTGACCGAGCAGAGACATTTGAGGACTTAGAAGAAATCATTGAGAAGAAATGGCCGGAAGGAGTATTTAGGGCTGTCAGGGAAACCGAAATAAATAAGGACGCCTACAATGCAAACAACTTCCTATTATTAATAGGGAAGGATAATGGTGAAAATACCAATAAATTCCAAGGGCTGGAGGAAATATTCCCGGGGGTCGATGAAATAGTAAGGACGAACAATGGTACTACGGAAAGTATATGCAGCAGACAATCGATAACGTCAAGAACGGTGCAAAAATTAATAGAAAAAAATCTAGTTATACAACCACTGAACGCGACTGGGGAAGGCTCTTTCATAAAAGAGGACCTTGAGGCTCTCCAAGAGGCGATTGTCAACCTGAAGGGGAAAAACATTGTGGATCTAAGGGTGGAATTAACGGAGGCAATTAACCGGGAAAAGGCCAGAAAATATCTGGAATTTATAAGTCGTAAAGCAGCAATTAACGCTGGAATACTCACTCCCACTTATAGATTGGCTGCCCGTAACAAGGTCTTACTCGACACAGTGGTTGTCAAAAAGACGGAAGGCACATATGCGGAAATGCTGAGGACGGTGAAAACTAAACTGGACAATAAGGATGTGGACCTGGATGTGAGGGGTATACAAGAAACAAACAACGGAGATCTTATGTTCAAGGTAAAGGCTGGTGGAGGAATAAGATTGAAGGAGATTATAGAGAAAGGAACGCAAATGGTAGCCAGGACGAGGGGGCCTAGAGGAAGACAAAAGATATTTCACATACGTGGAATAGACGAAGTTACTGCAAAGGAAGAGGTGGAGATGGCAGTCAAGTCTGCTTTGGGACGGGATGTCGAATTCACGCTCTCAAGTCTTAGACCAGCGGCGAAAAAGACACAAGCTATTACCCTTATCGTAGACAGATCTGCAGCTCACAGGGTGACAGACAGAATTAAAATTGGGGTTGTTAATTGTCTAGTCGAGGAAAGAATTAATATCGAAAAGTGCTTTAAGTGCTGGGGTATAGGTCACAAGGCAGTAGATTGCAAGGAAGAAGAAAAACCCAATAGATGCCTACGCTGCGGCGGTGAAGGACATCTAACGAGGACGTGTAAAAACGACCCTTTTTGTGTCACGTGTAACGATAGCGGACACTCTACAAATTCGATGAATTGTCCAGTAGCGAGGAAAGCCCTATTCGATAAAAGGCAGCAAATACGACGGAATTCAGGCTTGATGGAAACACCGGAACAAAAAAGATCCTGACCGTTTATTTCCCTTTTTTACATATACAAATATTTACATTATATACATACGACTGCGAATTCTTTTACTTTTATATACACTTATACATATATACACTATATACACTTATACAAATATTTTCTATATACACTAATTTATACAATTTTCGAAATAATGATAACGGTATTACAAACGAATTTGGGGAGATCGAGGATCGCACATGACGTGGCCTATGCAAAAGCTCTCGAACAACAAGCAGACCTACTAGTAGTAAGCGAACCAAATAAAAAGATAACCGAAAAGACTCGATGGATTCGTGATAATTTACAAAACGTAGCTATTTTTATCCTAAACAGGAAAGTAACAATTAGAGGTATTACGAAAGGCGACGGATGGATATGCCTGAAACTGGAAGCAATAAAAATTGTATGCTGTTATCTCTCCCCAAATATAGGCCTACAGGAGTATAAAAGGAAAGTGGATGAAATCTTTAACGCCAACGTGCACTTAAACTGCGAGGTCGTAATAATGGGTGATCTAAACGCGAAATCCCATCTCTGGGGATCTCCAGTAACTGATAGACGAGGAGTACACTGGGGCGACTGGATCGCTCAGTACGATCTCACCGTCCAAAACAGAGGCAATGAGCCTACATACGTCCGTGATAATAGCGCATCTTACATAGACGTCACGATAACGTCAAAGGGTCTATCAAGGAAAATTCCAACATGGCAACTACTAACCGAGGAGTGTTTCTCACAACATAAGCCGATATTGTTTAAAATCGACATAAAGTGTAGGAAGGGACCCTCAGGATTCCAACAGAAGAGAATAGTCAATAACGAAATATTAATCGACAGCCTAGGAATTATTATGAAAAAGCAGCATACTAGCATAATAACGTTGACTAAGAAATTAAAATCAGCGCAAGAATTTAGTACGATGAAACACAAGAACACAATTGCAGTAACTCGACCCTACTGGTGGAATCCTGAGATAGAGACAGCGAGGAACGAATGCAATCGGGCTAGGAGAAAATGGATGAGGAGCAGAACTTTAAACGAACTCGGAGGACACATGGAATATCAGAATTACAAACAAACTAGGAAAACATATAAAAAACTCATATTTGAAGCGAAGTCTGCTCACTGGACTAAAGTCTGCGAGGATATTGACCAGGATACCTGGGGTTTAGGGTATAGGATAGCGACAAAACATCTGAAGTCAGCAGATCCCTCCTTCGAGGTAGACCCTGAAACTAAAAAACGAATAATTCGGGAACTATTCCCATGGTGCCCGGATAACAGGACAGAAAGGCGCGCTGCATACGTAGACGAGTTGTTCTCGACAAAGGAGCTCCTGGACGTAGCCTCAAGATTGAAGCTAGGTCGGTCTCCCGGACCCGACGGCATCCAAGTCGAGGTGGCGAAAACGGCTGTACAAAAATATCCTGAGACGTTTCTTAGAGTTTATAACGAGCTTCTCAAACGACAGAACTTCCCGAAAAGGTGGAAAACGGCAAACGTAGTCCTCATTCCGAAGAACCCCGGAGAAGATGAGCCTGTCAAATATAGACCAATATGTCTATTGGATGTCCTCGGTAAAATTTATGAACATCTGATCAGGTCGCGTCTGGAGAACGAACTAGAAAATAAAAACGCTATAGCAAAAAACCAATTCGGATTCGTACGTGGTAAATCCACCGTAGATGCTGCTGTCGAGGTTACCACCAAGACAACACAGAAATGGGCCACGCTAGTCTGCGTTGACATCAAAAACGCTTTTAATACAGCACGATGGGACATCATTATAAAGAGGCTGGAAGACATCGGGATAAGCGACTATCTCATTAATATCGTGGACGACTACCTAAAAGACAGATTTATTAAAAGTGGAAGTTACAAAAAGGAGGTAACCCAGGGAGTCCCACAGGGCTCAATACTGGGACCTACTCTTTGGAACGTCCTCTATAATCCGATTCTAAATAACGACTTACCTGCAGGATGTAGATTAGTGGCGTATGCCGATGATCTCTCACTAGTAGCCACAGCAGACACGAAAGACGAACTTACCGATAAGGTCAGCGACGCAATCCAAACGATAGAAACCTGGATGAAAGAAAACGGTCTCAGGATAGCCCCAGAGAAGACAGAAATGGTAGTCACCAAAGGTCCGCTAAGGGAAAGGGAGAATTTCGAAATTAGGATTGGTGGGCATCTTATTAAGCCGGCTAAGTCATGCAAATATTTGGGAATTTATATCGATGAAAAAATGTCCTTCAATGTGCATATAACTCGGACAACTAAGAAAGCGGAGAAACTAAGTGCTGCACTGTGCAGACTGATGCCAAACCTAAAAGGCCCGAGAAGCTCTCGAAGGGTATTACTGTGTAACGTCGTGCACTCCATATTGCTATATGGAGCCCCGGTGTGGCAGACAGCGATTGAAAAAAAGAAATATTGCGGGATGTTAAGAAGTACGCAAAGAAGGGCTCTCCTGCGCGCAATTAGCGCGTACAGGACAGTCTCTATGGAAGCGGCCAATGTAATCGCGGGGGTAATACCCATCGAGCTCTTGGTGGATGAAAGGAGCAGGGTTTATAGAAGGAACGAGGAAGCTGAATCTAGAGGGACTATACGCAAGGAAGAACGCGAAAGAACTATAGCCATGTGGCAAGAGAGATGGGAGAACCATTACAGTACGGCACAATGGACTAAGATATTAATTCCAAACGTTGAAACCTGGGTGAACTGTAAATTTAAGAACACTAACTATTATCTAACGCAATTTCTTAGCGGCCATGGAAGCTTCAGCTCATACACATACCGAATAGGGAAAAGACCAAATCCAGATTGCATGTACTGCGGCCTCCAGGACTCGCCAGAACATACGGTCTTCCACTGTACCAAGTGGCAGAGGACGAAGCAGGAAGTCGAAGGACTTATAGGCGAAGAAATAAGGACCGATAATATAATACAACTTATGACGCGTAACCAGGATAATTGGAGCTCAATTAGCGTATACGTAAACAACATCATGCGGACAAAGGAGAGAGACGAGAGAATAGAACAGACTGCTAATAGGCAATGAGGGACCTGTCAGAGGGTAACCTGAAGGTATGTCTTCATTGATAGTCCGGGTTACCCTCACAGACAGCAGCCGAGGTGGTTTTTTAGTGGGTATTATGCACCTTTGAGCCCCACACTACCCCCACCGAACAACTGTGGGGGTGTGCGTAAAAGCATTTTTCCCCTCGATAAAAAAAAAAAAAAAAAAAAAAAAAAAAAAAAAAAAAAGGGTAGGGTAGGGTAGGGTAGGGTAGGGTAGGGTAGGGTAGGGTTATTGATGCCTAATATGGAAGGGCCCAATAGTGAAAAAAGGAAACTACTAGGTTCCGTGGTCCACTCAATAATGCTGTACGGTGCTCCAGTTTGGTACCCAAGAATTCGGGCTAAAAAATACAAAGAGGCTTTAAGAGGGATGCAAAGAAAGATGGTAATAAAAATAATTAGTGCCTACAGAAGCATCTCGACCGAGGCATCAAACATCATTGCAGGTATCCCGCCCATAGAACTACTAGCGGAGGAAAGAACGAGGGTTTATGAAAGGAAAAAAAGGGAGTTGCTAACGGAAAAGGTAAAGAGAGAGGAGAGGGAGAAAACCGTTGATCGATGGCAGGACATATGGGATAGAACGACGGGAGTAGGACAGTGGACGAAAAAACTGATACCGCATGTAAGACCGTGGATCGAGTGCAATCATAGGTGCACAAATTACTTTTTTACCCAGTTCCTGAGTGGGCATGGCTCGTTTCGGACCTATACCTACAAAATCGGGAAAAGTATAGATAAAAACTGCATATACTGCGGAGAAGAGGATGATCCGGAACATACTATCTTCATATGTCCTAGGTGGAGGGAGTATAGAAACCGGTTGGGAGATAAAGCTCGGAGTGCAAATAAAAACAACATAATACAGTATATGATAGAGGAAAAGGACCAATGGAACGAGTTATACGGATTAATTAGTGAAATAATGAAAGAAAAGGAAAAGGAAGAAAGGATACACCAGCAAAGCCAAAGATAGATAGGACAACCTATGTGTACCTGATGAATATCGGATACGACAGTCCCAGGTACACACGATAGGGAAAGAAGGCGGGGGGTTTTTGCCGGGATAGCGTCCGGCATAACCCGGCGTGGGAGGAACCATGCGCCGGGTACCAAGCGGTTTCCCCCCTACGAAAAAAAAAAAAAAAAAAAAAAAAAAAAAAAAAAAAAAAAAGGGTAGGGTAGGGTAGGGTAGGGTAGGGTAGGGTAGGGTAGGGTAGGGTAGGGTAGGGTAGGGTAGGGTAGGGTAGGGTAGGGTAGGGTAGGGTAGGGTAGGGTAGGGTAGGGTAGGGTAGGGTAGGGTAGGGTGGGGTCCAAATGGCTGGTACCCGGGTCTCGAGGTGTTTCGGATTGCCAATGTCCGGGACGCATTAAAACTCGAGTAACGCCCAAAGGCGCCCTATTGCGGCCCAGTGTCTCGAAAAGGCTGTTGAGATAGTCCTGAGAAGGGCTGTTGAGATAGTCCTGAAAAGGACTGTCGAGACAGTCCCGCGGGGGTCCGCGGTTGCAGTCCCTTGAGGGTCTGCGGTTGCGGCCCCGTGAGGGGCTGTCGAGATAGCCTTGAAAAGACATACCGGCAAATCCTATCTCCACCTCCTCGTGGTGGACCCTGGTAATGCGTGTTCCGCATCTTACGATGCGCGTCACGTAGCCAACGGAGAAGGGTGAAAGGCGAACTTCCGGCGCCATATCGGGAAAAATTGGCTAAGGGAAGGAAAACCCTGAAAAAAAACCCACGGGACCAAAGAGTCGGGATGGACCTCAGTGGTGCGGTGGGTTGTCCATACTTACCGTGCTGCTAAATGCTGAGGAGTCCTTCGTCCTTCGTGGATGAACCGGCAAATCCTATCTCCACCTTCGAGAGGTGGTCCTAGGCAAAGCGGGGCGTGCTGTGGGAGTACGTCTCGTAGC